AGACTATTGGTTTGGCATAGAAAGGAGTTCCATTTCCATAAAAGTATGACGGAATCGATAGGACTGCACTATTTCATATTGGTACTTTTCAGGTAAACTTTTAACATCGATTCGTTTTTTTATTCTATGTCCTGCTCTTAATTCATTAGTATATTGATAATTCGAGCTAAATGTCAATCATGTGTTGGCTTGACTGAATATGCTCCATGTTCGACGCATTCTGCGTGTGCCTGTTTCCGTATGATTGCTTCTTCTAACTCAAGCATCTGTCCCAACCAATTTCTGTTGTCTTGCTCTGAGCTAGTTCAATGTGAAGGCTTAAACAATACTTGTAATGAATTCGAGCATGTGTGTATTTATCATTCTCGATGTCATCATTATCGTATTTGTTATCCGGTACCGAGTTTCAATGGACAACTCTGTCCGCCGATAAGTAAAAGCAACAAAACAGAAACGACGAGAGTGTGTGGGTGTAGATGTGGGTGCCAGTGAGGATATGAGTATGAGTGTGGGTGTGAGTCTCTGCTACCCTATCTACCACACCCACACCCTTTTTTCGGTAGCTAGTTAGTACAACTCTTGAAATATTTCGATGTCTGTTTCTTTTTTGTTGTGGTGGCAGAGTTTCGATATGTGCGTGTTGAAATTGAACGAAGATATTAGTTTCAAAATTCACATCTCGATATTCAAATCCACTACAGAAAACACAAGCGAATTTCGGATTCAAATTAGAGCGCACTTACACATTCTCAACCAAACATCCTATTTCTCTACAAATACGAACATTCATCATCTTGATAGTTCACAGCGCAGTTGTAGCTGAGAGGATTTTAGAAGTTGATAACGGATGTTCCATAAAGCTGAGCTTGTCCGGCAGAAAATTCATTTCTTTACGTTTGCTTTTCAGCTAGTTTTTTTTTCATATCAATGTAAGATTTAAAATTCATCTGGGCGAGCAAAGAAACAAAAAAAGAGATGACATTTAAAAATAGTGACTCTGGTGAAAGGTCAAATATTCTACAATATTCCAAATAAAATTATCTAGCTATTGATGTCCTTTTCAGGATTTCAGAATAAATATTTGAGTGAAAAAAGCTTTAAATGGAAAATGTGGAAGCACCGAAAAAACCATTTCCTGGCAAACTCATGTGATTATTCTGTATTTATTCGAAGCAGTCTAAGTGTTACAGCTGCTCAAACTGGCATTTGCGCCATTCTGTTCAGGATTAAATTCTACAGCCAACGGCATGAGAATAAATGCTTCGCTGCGCCGATGGATGATTTAATAGGTGTTGATCTTTTAAATCATACATTGATAATAAAAAAGACTATATGAAAAACAACGTAGATAGTTTGTAGAGAAATACATTTTCTGTCTGACAAGCTCAGAATCAGATCTTAAGACAATGATCAAGTCCCCGAAAGACAGAAAACAAAGTTTGCCATTCTTTATAGAGCATCCGTTAATTAAAAAAATTGAGTTATTACTACAAATTTTAGGAAACACTAAATTCTATATCACCTTTTATGTAAAAAATCAGACTAATTCATTATTTTACACAAATGCTCTATAATAATGAATATGAAACAACGTTGTAGGTACAACTACAACTATAACGACGAGTACAACTACAACTACAACTACAACGACGAGTACAACTACAACTACAACTACAACTACAACTGTAACTACCACTACGACTACGACTACAACAACTACTCAAGAAGGAGTAAGCTTTTTTGATCATTATTCTCAATCATCCTCAATTCTTATTTCGAATCGAACAGCTGTGGTTATTTTTATGCTATGTCACTATGTGGATATCGAAAGTTTAACTTGATGAACTTAGTTATTTTATATTATGAGTAATTTGACTGTCAGCATAAGAAAAACTCAAGATTTTTCAATTTTCATGTATTATTTAGCTATTCTCGGGATAATCGAAATTAGCTTTGCTTTTGTGGAACTCACATATATTTTCGAAGAAAATGGTGAGTGTAAGTTTAAAGGCGAGATTTTTGCGGCTCCCCAACCCCCCTCCCCATTACAGACATCAATGAGTTTAAAATTGTGCTAATTAGAAGCTTGACTAATTAGGCTGCTATTTCTTCCCTTTTTAATTACAGACTACACGAAAAACCTATGCTTGCCCATTACAGACCATAGTAACTAGCTTAGGGTACCATTACAGACCATAGTAACTAGCTTAGGGTACCATTACAGGCCATAGTAACTAGCTTAGGGTACCATTACAGACCATAGTAACTAGCTTAGGGTACCAATGCAAACCATAGTAACTAGCCTCTGCCATTGTTAAATATACGAGCTAACAATTAATACTCAATTACAGACATAAGTGCAAATAGGCAATGATCTAATTATTGGTTTTGAAAATCAGGGTAGATTTTTCAGATGAATTATTTTGATTTATTTTAGTAAGCCGAAGGGATATATGTGAGTTCCACATTTTAGTCCCAAAGGGGCTGCGCTAACAAGCTTTTTTATTTGTATTCGCCGTAGTCAAAAATGTATTCATCTTAACTTATCCTTTTTAGAAAAGATTTTTCTATCCTGGAGAAGAGAAAAAAGAATCAACATTAAAAATAAAAGTTTATTTATTGTTCATAATTGTTATTTCGATTTTTCTTGATACAAATAGGCAAGAGCATATTGAAAAAAACTTGATCAATTCAGATACGTCTGGCTGAGTTACAAGATCCTGACTTATGATGATAGTTGATGATATTGTATTTGAATATCGGCTCCGTGAAATTAGGATTGAATAACAAAATAATGACAACGTGCAAGACAGAACAGAATAAGAATAATTCGTATATAGCTGAGTGGCTTAAGAGAGTGTCGATAACGCGATACTGGTTCGAATCCAGTGCGATATATATTTTTTGTTCTGTTCTGTACGTTGCTTTACCATTGAATTTTGTCAAAATGTTTTTGGCTTGTGATCAGAGGTACCCTCTCGAGATGTCAACGGGAACGGAGGTTACTGACCACGCTGAATCCGAATATGCTATTTTTATTCACCGACAACATACCGTTCAAAACCACTCTGGGGTGATATGTCGTGCACAGATGTCACTACTATTGTGTACTATTCTTTTCCTCATTTACTTCTTATCTTTTTCATATTTTATCTATGTTATACTGATCGTTGAAGCGTGCATGTAAATGTTTTTTCTTCCTTTTATCCATACTCCTTTCGTATAAATTAAACTCCATCTATTAATATTCTTTCTTTCGCTCTTTTTATTTCATTATGATTATAAAGTTCTATCGCTGTTATACTGTACAATACAAGCTCCTCCTTCATACTTATATTTTTAACATGTGAACCTATTTAATGGCACATTAAAATAAATGTTAAAAAAAAACTATGGGTTGATTTATTTCAGTATAGAAGTTTAACTGAACCCGTATTTTTTCAGCAAACACAAGCAAATAATAGTGCCGCTTGATGTGCCCGTTACTGCGCTAACTTTTATTAGAGTTTTCAAGGAGTATGTTGTGTTTTCACGTAAATGGCGTGGATGTGTTTTCTTTGTTGCTTCTTTCTGTAGATTGAATATATTGTATTTTCTCGGTATATGTGAATACTGCCGGCAAAGTATTTTTCATTTAAATTTCCGTTAGACATTATTGTGTGGATAGCACTTCGACTAGATAAATTTATAACAAAAAAGATCACAGAAACACGTATATCATCGTTCTTAATGCTATTATGACCAATATCAATACTTAGTGTCACACCTAGCCTTTCTTAATCGTTGGATGCTAGTTTTTTCTGAGAACTGTAAAGCAGTGGACAATATCGAACAGACAAATATTCAATCGAGGGTCCCGTGAGTCTCACGAACGAGCGTTATTTGTTTTTAATATTATTATTATTATTATTTCCTCTTCAACACTTAATTCACCTAAAATTAAGTGAAAAAGTGTATAATATGAGAAATAAAAGTCAGGATTATCGGAAAATAGCTTCCCATATGTAATTTGACATGGGGATTTCGAATCTGAACTCTATTTTTCTCAAAACTATATTGATCGGTCAGGAATTAATAAAAATCCAAATTTTCGAAAAATGACTCTCAACAGGTAATTGGGCATGTGGATTTCGAATCTGAGCTCCATTTTTCTCAAAACCCTTTTAGTCGATCAAAACCAATAGAAATCGAGTTTCTCGTACAAAGGCTTCGTATCAGTAACTGGAGATAGGGATTTCGTACCTGAGCTTCGTGTTCTCTATAACCCTATGGGTCAGCGGTGAACCAATACAAATCGAGATTTTTTGGAAACGGCCCCCAACAGGTAGTTGGAGATGAAGAATTGCAATCGGTTCTGTGTTTTTCGGAAAACTCTATTTTTACAAGTTCCTTAGTCACCAATAGGTTTTTGAGGAAAATGCAGCTTAGATTGCAATTCTCCATTCTTTTTTGGTTCATGCACTATATTTATTCGTGACATCCATTTATATATATTTTTTGTGATTTTTGTGGACGCTTACGGAAACAATAGTCAACAGACAAGACTACACGATAACAAACAGAGAAAGGATGACAAGGAAGAGAAACGTGAAAACGTAAACAACAGAACGAAAGTCGAAATCGAGGCAGTGATAACGAAATTGGCGTGCAGTACTGTTCTTCCTTTGTTTATTCTTCTGATACCGTATATCTTGACACCGAAGACACTGTGCCGGGAGAAGGGATCGAACCTTCACATGTCTGACTAATAGTAATCACATGCATAGAACCACTACGCCATCCCCGGCATTGCAATTCTCCAAGGTTGGCCGTCATAATATCGAAAGGAAAAATGTCGAAAGAAGGAAGAGGAAAAATGTCGAAAAAATATTTTTGACATGAAACATTGTCAGTTAATATTTTAGAGAATTGTAAATAATATAGTGCATGTTTTGTTGCATAAAATTAAGTTGAAATATTAACAGTGAGAAAAATATAGAAAAAAATTAAAAATTAAAATGTTATTTTTTTCGTTTAGCAACTACAAATGATAAACCATCTAAATATTCCATAGCATTTATTGCTTCATCATAATATCTTTCTCCAAGTTTATCTATACGAAGTTGAATAGCAACCGTTTTAGCTTGTTTTGATCGTGTTCCTAAGGCTGCCATGAATTGAACATACATATGATGAAAACGGTTTTCTTCTCCTTGAAGAAGGTTAATAAATGACCATATATTTGGATGGTTAATTTGTAGCCGACGATTGAAGCGACTATGAAATGCTGAATGACGCATAAGAAAATAAATTTCTGAGTTAAATACAAGAAAAAGATTACCTTCAGCATTATTATTGGTTCTGATGTTGAGACCATGTATAGGGGTGGACCGTTAATGTTAATTAGAGTTAATTAAGAGATTTAATTAAGTGATTTTACTTAACATTTAGTATTAATAAAAAAAAATATTTGCATTAGCCACTTAATTGCTTAATATTAAGTATTAACGCAATACTTAATTTCTAATATTAAGTGTTAACTTAACACTTAATTGTTAATATTAAGTATTAAGCGTTTCGCGTTAACACTTAATTCACTTAAAATTAAGTGATAAAATGTTTCATCTGCAGAAAACATGAATTTATTTTGATTGTATTTTACAGAAACGCTGTTTTTTGAAAGTGCCTATTTCTTAGAAGTTCGAATAGCAAGTTTTGGAGGTCAAGGAGTCTGAATTTGTAATTGGTTTCTCATAATTTCTCAACTGATTTCATCATCAGAAAACGACCATTTTATGAACATGACTGAGTTCTATAAATTTACACTGAAGTTTTCAGATGCCGATGAGAATAAGCTAGTTACTGGGGTCTGTAATGGTACCCTAAGCTAGTTACTATGGTCTGTAATGGTACCCTAAGCTAGTTACTATGGTCTGTAATGGGCAAGCATAGCTTTTTCGTGTAGTCTGTAATTAAAAAGGGAAGAAATATCAGCCTAATTAGTCAAGCTTCTAATTAGCACAATTTTAAACTCATTGATGTCTGAAATGGGGAGGGGAGGGGGTGGGGAGCCGCAAAAATCTCGGCTTTAAACTTACACTCACCATTTTCTTCGAAAATATATGTGAGTTCCACAAAATAGAATTATTCCAATAAGATAGGTATAATAGCTGTAAAAGAAACAATACTAAATCAGATGTTTTTGTTTTAGTGTTTGTGTTTAAAATAAGAAATTCGTTCATGTCAAAGAGAAGTGTCTCAGAATTTCAATTATGTTACAGCAAAACTTTTCACTTGATTTTCATCTCTGAGCGTATAGGTATTTATTGATACACGTGATAATACTTCTTTCTTGTTCGCTGTCATCGAGCAACATAAGCTTTGATCGAAAGGAAAAAAAGATTAATGTTCAACGTGAAAAACTCAATGATAGTTTATTTTTAATGTTTGTACATTGTATTAATAAACAGATTTATCTTTTCAAACTAAAATAAAATAAATTACACTTTATCGTAGAGAACTGTTTCAGGATTATATCATCATTACTTAAGGAATTCGATTTTTCAATAGTTTTTAGTCCTGACTTAAGATTGTCTTCTTTTTATCTTCGAGATTATCATTCATCTTACTTTATTATGTAGAAAACAGCTATGCTACTTTTGTTTCTCTCAATCAAAATAGAATAAAAATTTGTTAGATTCATTTAGTTGTATCTTATGATGAACATGTGTCGTAATATGATTAGAATAGAAAAAAGAATGCCAAGAAGATATGTTCATACATGAATGATATAAGATGAATTCATCTATTTTTAATCGAAGAAGAATATCTTGATATTCAGTGATCGACAGCTTTCACTCTCTTTTCTTCGCTGTCTTCCTCTTTTTTAGACTCGTGCACACGCCACATATGAAAATATGTGTCATGTGTATCTATCAAACAAATGTAGAAATCAGAACAACAAAATCTTCTATTACATTAAATAGAATTTCTGGTGATTGATTATTGATATGAAGAAAATCTAAATGTTGATAACAGGTTGTGCGAAGTTAAACAAAATACGAATTCCTTGTAGAAAATTTTATTAACTAATTTTGTAACAGATATTGACGTTAATATTAGAACCCGCCTGCCGGGGGAATTTTCGAACTTCCATACGGTCTGCTACTGTTTACAGTGATGGGAGGCGACCCTGGGCTGTCGGTAGCCAACAGTCTGAGTTTTAGGGCAGCAACCTGTCAGTTGGACGTAAAACAAGTCTTGCTAACGAAAAGACACAAACGAAATGTGCGAACGCACAAAAACACGTATATTTCGGTGGTTGGAATGTTCGATCATGTGTGAAACAATCAAAGAAAGAACTAATCATCAAATAACTGAAACAATACCGGATACAAGTAGCTGCTCTAAGTGAAACTTGTATGTGTGATTCCGGGGTGAAATTTGTAAATGATTATACAATGATCTATTCTGGTGTTCAAAGTGATAATAAAACCAGAAGAGCTCACGGCGTGGCGATCTGTCTTGATCCTATTGCCACAAAGGTATGGAAAGATTCAGGGTCTGAATGGGAAGCAGTTAGTGAGCGAATTATCAAAATTAGATTGAAGTGCACACCAATTGACATTACAGTATTATCCGTTTATTCTCCAGTTAATCCATCAACGAAACAAATGACAAATGACGCTGATAAATTTCATTCTGATCTACAAGATACCATAAGCAACGCGTCTACAAATGATATGCTTATCATCATGGGTGATTTAAATGCCAGAGTGGGTGGAAATCAACAACAACTATCATCAACAAACAGTGTTGGACCATTCGCAGTCGATGTAGAAAACAAGAATGGAGCGAGACTCGCTGATTTGTGTGAGATCAACAATATCATCGTATTAAATACATTCTTCCAACATAAATTACTTCATCAAACCTCTTGGATGCATCCAGGCAACAAAATATGACACATGATTGATTACACGTTAGTGAACAAGAAGTTCAGATAGAGCGTTGAAGACGTTCGAATGTATAGAAGAGCTTCAGGTGCTATAGGAACGGACCATCATTTGATGCGTACCAAAATCAAAATTCATTTGAAAAGCAGAAGGAAGTGTGACCTACAGAAGAAAACAAGCATTGATGTTGTAAAATAAAAAGATGAGAAACTAGTAGAAGCATTTCAGAAAGATCTTTGTGAAAGGGTTGATGATGCAAATGTGAATACAGTTAGCATGGATGAGAAGTATGAACTGTTTGTATCACATCTTAAAGGAAAGGCAGAAGAACACTTTATATTTGATAGGAAAGTAAACCGAAAAAAAAAGAATGGCTTACAGACGAAATATTCAAAATCATAGATAAAAAGCCAATGGCATTCGTGGAATGGCAGAACCATCGTGACACAAATTTAGAAGCTGCGTATAGGAACAAATACAAGCGTCTTCGAAAATTAGCCAAAACGATGATTGAATATCGTCCGGAAGAATATTGGGACGAAGTATGTGAGGGGATAGAGAAGTCGATCAAAAGTAACGATCTTGCAACTGCATTCTCGATCATGAGACGGCTTAAAAGAGGAAGTAAAAGAGTGGAAAACATGCCAATTGTAGACAAAAATGGCAAATTACTCGTGAACTCAACCGATCAATTAGAACGTTGGCGCAAGTATTTTTGTGAATCGTTGAATGTTCATTCAACTGTTGATCCATATGTAATAAATAAGGTTCAAATAACAATACCATCAAAATTGGAGTTGGAACGACAGAACACGCAACCTTCTTTTGAAGAGGTGAAAAGAGCGTTAAATCAAATGAAATCAAGAAAAGCTCCAGAAGGTGATGAAGTGACAGCTGATATTCTAAAAGCTGGTGGTGAGCCAGTGATAAAATGGCTGCACGAAATGTTCACCGATATGTGGGAGAATGAGCAGGCGGTGAAGGAATGCAGTTCAGCCACTCTAATCAGGCTATATAAGAACAAAGGAGACAAAAAGCTATGTGACAATTACAGAGGTATCTCGTTACTGAGTGTAACTGGCAAAATATTCTCACGTATCATTCTCAACCGTATTCAAAATTCGGTCGATGAACGACTATTAGAAATACAATCTAGTTTTCGATCGAACAAATCAACGATTGATCAAATATTCACACTGAAAATGACTATGGAAAGAAGGAGAGAGTTCAATAAACCTTTGTTCATGTGCTTCATTGACATTACAAAGGCTTACGACTCAGTCAGTCGTGAAGTGTTGTGGAGAATATGTCAAAGCTATGGCATTTTTGAAAAATTGGTCAATCTGCTACGAATGCTATATAAGGATTCAAAAGCAAAAGTAAAAATTAATGGAGAACTATCAGACAGTTTCGACATAGAAACAGGAGTAATGCAAGATGGAATACCATCTCCAATGATATTCAATATCCTATTTGATTTTGTCATTAGAAAAGTTATTGAAGAGGCTAGCGTTGCTGATGTAAAATTTTCATATGGTAGTAATGATTTCTTTCACGGAAGTCGTGAAAAGTATGAAAACTTTAATGTCTTGGATCTTCTATATGCAGACGATTTGGCTGCAATGTGTGAAACTACTGATGATCTGCAGAAATTTATAAGATCGTTTGAAAAAATCACACAACAATTTGGCTTAACGATGAGCGTTAAGAAAACATGCATTATGACATTACAGCAACTCAAGGAAGATCAACATGGAAAGGTTTTGAAAGGACAAGAAGTGGACCATCCTAATATTGATATAAACATTCGAAATCAAAAGATTGAAACAGTTGACTCTTTCACATATCTGGGATGCACTATTACCAGAGATCAACGACAAGATACAGAGCTAGAAATCCGCCTAGCAAAAGCTGCTAGAGCATTTAATATGCTACGATATTCAATTTGGCATAGAAAATCGGTTTCAATAGTATCAAGACTCCGAATTTTCAGAGCATGTGTACTTCCAGTCTTATTATATGGAAGCGAAGTTTGGTCGCTTACAATAACTCAAGAGCGTAGAATAACAAGTTTGTATACGAGATGTTTACGTACAATCATAGGAGTAAACTTAGGTGATAGGATGTCAAATGACAAACTACTGGAAATCACTGGACAACCATCGATCGAAGACATCCTGCGTAGAAATCGACTGAGATGGTTCGGACATGTGAATAGAGCTGTATACGATGATAATGAAGCATCATTAATGAAAAAGATCATGTTTTCATACTTTCATGACGAAAAAAGGCCGCATAGTATTGGAATACGGAAAAGGTGGGAAGATAAAGTCATGCTCGATATCGATGCACTTCAAATTAGAAACTGGAGAAGTCTAACTCAGGATAGAGATAGATGGCGAAAAGCAATTAACATAAATGTACAAACTAAGGCAGTACATAACAATATCAAAGAAATTGTATTTGAATATAAACAACGAGCAGTGGTAAGGAGAGTAAAAGAAAGAGCCGTAGCATAGGGAATGATACAACGAAAAGTTACAGAACTGTTAAAGACAGACAGAAATAATCAATACAAGTGCCTGGTTGTGTTAAACAATTCAAACCTCAGGGTATCACGAACCACGTGAAAGCGTGCTTTAAAGCAACAGCCTGGTGTAACAAGAACAAAATTGGATAACAAAGCAGCAAATTGTGGAACACCTACTGAAATTGGAACTGGGAGAGCAATGATCACTATTATTTAAACTGGTACACCACAGAGTAATAGTCTGATGGATATACCTCGGCTTCTAATTCAGCAGCGATCATCTGAACACTCATCGATAATATAAAGACTATTTTTTTTGTTTCTTATTGTTTAAATTTCTTTTATGTGTTTGAGTATTTTTTTGTTTCTCACCCCACACTGGAAACGGTAAACGGGTCTATAATAATAATAATAATAATAATAATTCGGATTACTGCAGCAAAAATTGCTATACTCATTCTCTCCATCTCCTCACTCGCTTACATCCACGAAAATCAAATAAAGCTGTATATGATTCGGTCACACAAACAATCCTCTATTGGAGCTGTAAGTATCTCGGCGAGTGACTTGACCATTTTAAAATAATTTGCACAACAAGAACATCTCTGTTAACTACCTTAAAAGTTGAAGGTATGGGTGTACAGATCACAACTTCTTTCATAAACTCACACACACACACCTAGTTCTTCCTTGGGAACGTGGATGTTGGCGGGGGTGTGTTTGTGTGGGTATCCGAGTCCGTGTGCGTGGCTGTATGGGTGTTTATGTTCTCTTCAACGACAACTACACTGAAAAAAAAAGGTACCATACCGAACCCTAAAGGTTTCCGATTTTTGCAACCAAATCGAAATCCTTTGAGGTTTCGTAGAAATTGGATTTCGTAAAAAGCCTTAATTTTAATAGCTGATAACAGGGGTTTCGTACTTGGGGTTCAGTATAATTTACCACGCAATGTTGAATGAAAGATTCGCCGGGTGCTATGCTCCATTATGGAAGTAGTTTTCCACCACTATCCACTGCAAAACACACCCACTCTCTAAAAAAGAACCGGGTTTCGTAGAAACTACCAGGAGAGATGTCTGAAAGTCGCCATATTCTATAGGAGAACACAGAATATCGCTGGAACATAGATGCAGTATTCCGACCGCAAACTTTCCGAATTTTTTTGAATGATTTCCGGCGCATCTTGCCGAAAGGCATTGCAAGTTGGTCGGAACTCACTAGAAAAATCAGGAAAGTTTGCGACCGGAATAATGTCTCCATGTTGCACCGATACCATGTGTTCTCCCACAAAATACGGTGACTTTCAGGCATACTTTCTGC